GGGCGGGCGGGCGGCGGTTCCCCGCCGGGCGAGGAGTGCCGTGGGCGCCGGGGATGCGCCGTGCCCGCTCCCCGGAGAGCCGCGGCAGGGGGCCGGGGTGGGTGCCGGTCCTGAATCTGCGTCTCGAATCGATCCTCGACGGCAGCATCTTCGCGTCGGTAGCTGCTCTTCTTCTCGGGAGTAAAAATTCCCCATGAAAGTAAGAGGCTCTTGCGTTTAGACCGGTACTTGGTGTGAATCCCTGCACGTCCTCTCATCATATGACCGTGGGCCGTTCTCTGGCTTTTGTTTGCTCCTTCTTGTTGTTTTTTTTTTTGTTTTGTTTTTTCAAGGGTGCTCTTGAAAGCTTACAAATCAAATTTTTAGTCTTGCTGTTGTTCCATTTAAGTACATAATTATTATGGTTTATGGTTTTACTAGGAAACTTAGTGAGAGAAAATGTGCTTAAATAGCAACCAGAACTATGAATTGTTTGATCCATATATGGAGAGGCTGGAAGAAGCTGTTCCCTCTTCATTACTGTCTGAGAAGCAGTGCGCAGTGTCGTGTTGAAATGTTTTGTATGCCTTGCTATGTAGTAAGGCAGATGAAACATTAAATACTATGGAAGCCTTTGGAGAAGGAGCCATTGTCATCTTCTGTATTTGTGTGGCAGCCTGGTCTGGTTTTGAGCATATATTAAATATATTAAAGTACTAATAGAGAGTAGGCAGTGTTCTGAATGAAACTTTGCTCTAGAACAAAAAGTATGTGCCTGACCTGTATGTCTCTGAAAGCTTTGTATTTATTTAGAACTGGCTCGTTACTGTAACAGCTAACGACACTGAAAACTCGCTCGGTGATATTGAACCACTGGTTGTGCCGATACTTGCATGTGAAACAGCTTGTTACTAAAATAAACACAGGCATAAGGGCTTTCAGGATCAGGGCCAAATTTGAATAAAGGGGAAGCAGTGCATGCAAATACTGCTATCAGTTGCAAAAACTGCAGTTGGAAGATATGTGTGTAAGTGTATCATTTGGATGAGATTCAGTGAACGTTTACAATCAATGACCTCTGGCAGCTTGTCGGCTAATTCGGAGACTGAGAAGGGGTAGTTTTGAATACGTGTGATAGGTGGCATGTCTCTGCAAGCAGTATGGTTATTGGAGGACACTGGAGGTACTTGATTATTAATGTTTCTGCGGTAAGCTTTTGCAGATGGCTTGTTATTGAGATACCCAGATGGATGTTGAAAACAAAGATGAGTTTGCCTTGTGCGTTTGCTGACACCAGATGTGTCACTGGGTGTATATTTAGGCACGCTGTACTTCTTAGGAGCCCGCTGTTTTGGGAATTGTAGGCTGTCTTAACCAGCATGGAAAGGCCTGCATTTCTACAGTGAAGCAGGAAGTAGCAGATATTTTTGTTTGTGGAAATACAGCTCTCGGATGCTCCATCTATTTATGTCACCGAAGCAGGGACCACTCCTTGGGCTGTCCATGCAAAAGTGGCAGGCTTTGAGGTAGTTGTCACTGGCGGGAGGATGCCCGCCCAAGAAGTCCCCAGTCCAAACTGACTTCTTGGAAATGTTGGCATAGCCCTGTGCTCACTGCAGATTAGTTCCCTGTCCTTTTGGTTAGTTCTTACTTGAAATAATAGTGAAATTGTGTAAAGGGGAACCTTTACGGTGGCACGCTTACATTTCCAGGCTATGGGTGGGGGAAGGAATATGACTGCTGCCAAATCACTGAAACTTTGCCAGAGATCTGTGTCCTCAGCCCTGCTTTCATGTTTTCCTCAGATTCTGTTAATTGACCGACTTAGGCCCCAGTGTAGCAAAGCACTTCAATGGATGTGTGCCCAGGCTTCAAAATGAGCATGGTTAATTTTGTTGATTCTTTGAACCAAGTTAATTCTTCAGATCACAAGCAGTGTTCATATTGCAGTTCAGCTAAACAAGTAAACCTCATTTATTTTTTTTTTTTAATTCACCAAATGATCAATCTTTCACCAAATGAAATGGTAGTGTTTCAGATCTTATCAAGGATCTCTTCTGTCATTAATGTACAAACCTAAAAAGAGGGTCGAAAGGAAGGTGTTCAAGTGACAGTCTTCTTCCTGCCTCGCTGTCTGCAGTGAACTCAACTGGGTTTACAGAGCTGCTCCTTGAGTCCTCCTGAGAGGTGTCTGTATTTTAACATCTGTTATTGGTGTGTAAATAATTCTTTGCCGAGAATAATGTTCAGGCAGCATCAAATAGCTGCTCCCATCTGGAATTCCAGTTGCAGAGGGCTTCGCATGAAAACAAGTTGTCTGTTTTATGAGAACCCAGTTAGCCCCATTCAGTCTTAGTGGCTGAGCAAACCCCGTCTGGGTTGTCCTCCTCTATGAAGGAGCATGAGGGTTATCTGACCTCTGTTCCCTGTTTTTAATTTGGATGTATTTGCAGCTTTCCTTCCAGTCCTAGCGAAGGGGCCGGTGCTTGCTCGAGGGTGAGGTGTTCTCTCCTTGCGTGGTCCCACCTCCCTGGATGGGACATGCTGCTGTGGTGCACTGCTGCTGAGTGGGCTGCTGGGACGTGCTCCGACAAGGGACTCAAGTGCAAGTGGCTTTTTCGATATATAATTAAATGTTCAGCTGTTACTTTAAAGAAATCGTGACAAGTTTTGGCAGCAGTCAATGGAATTTGATCAGGTGTTGCATGAAATTTTTGTTGTGTGATGAGGTACTTAAAAACTTTTGTACATTTTTTTTCTTCCTCCTTCCTTCCTTTCCTGGTGGTGTGTTTCGTTTTATTCCCCGCACATCAGGGGATGTTTCTGTTTTAATTATAGGATAAAGCTGGTAAGGGCAGTCCTTTCTTGAGGTTTTTGTGCAAGAGATATCCTCACCTTTATTTATACATAAATCTAGAAGTGAATCTATGTGGGTTTTTTGTAGCCATTTAAGCAGTACATTACACTAAAAGCAGGGGCCATATTTTCATTGGTGTAAGTAAACTGGAGGAATACTACATGGCAACTTTTCAATCTAATTGTACCCGAACTTTGCGGAGAAAAAGCAGCCATTTCTATGTAAGTATGCGTGACCTTTCAGCAGAGCTATCTTACTGCCATTTATCTAAATTACATGGTGTTAAAAACACAGCCAAACAAGCCTGACTCTTTATTAATTATGTGCACCTTCTGCTTTGATGGGCTGAAATCTAATTTTATGATCACATCAACTTATTTTTTGTCCTTTCAGATGAGGTCTAATGCAAGTGTCGCACAGCTTATGTGTTCATTTGTCAAAAGCAAAACAATATTCTAAACATTTGTCTTTCCCTCTCTTTTTGCCTTTCTTTCTGGCAACAGATTTAATAGAAAACGTTTACATAGCTTCGAGAAGCAGGAAGGACCCCAAGCCCCCCCAGGCCAGCGAGGTCCCTGAGCACAGGCCGCCGATGAACAGCATTACTGTGTCTAAGAAACGCAGCTGGCTGCAGCAGAGCACGCACCGACGTCCTCCTCCGGAAGAAGAAAACACCTGTAAGGAAACGCAGGGGGCTGTTGCGCCGGTACCCAAATCTCCCATCCCGCTGCCTTCTGAACCTGCCGCGCCGCGGGCTCCTTCCACCTCCCCGGTGGGGCGGGAGCGCCCCGCGCGAAGCCGCGCTCCTGCTGGTGCCCTGCCCAGCACCGCGAGCCCTGCCGCGGCGCGGAGCGCTGCTTCGGACCTGGGTGAGGATGACGACGCAGATGATGAAGGAGAAATATGGTACAACCCCATCCCTGAAGATGATGAGCCCGACTTGCCGAGGGGCCGCCCTTCCGCTGTGAATAGCCCTGTTGCTGTGGGGTCCCTGGCGGTTCGGTACAACCCCCCCTCCGGGGGTGACTCTGGGATGGCTGTGGGTCCCCACGAGGGTCCCCCGCGCTCCACGGAGAGCGCGGGGAGCAGTCGGACGGCTCAGCCCAGCGAAGCCAGTCAGGCCGATGCCGCGCATCCTGGGGAGCATGTGCAGCAGCACCGGCAGAGATTTGCCTGCAAGGCTCCCAGTGTGCCGGCAGTAGAAGACAATCCTGCCTTTAAGTGCCCTTCAACAGGTAAGAGGCTTCAGGAACGCAGAAGTGTTATGTCCCCTATTTTCTTTTAGAGGAATAATAATGCCTTCTTATGTCTCTCTTTTCTCTTTCTCCTCCTTTTATCTTTATCAAGCAAATTTCTGGTGGAAATGCACGTCGGGTCATAAAAAAATGACTCGGATTGTGAGACTGATACCTACTGAATGTGGAGCTGCACAGTTGTTTCTCAGTCAGTTTGTTCATGGCATGTCCAGGTGTGGTTGTCCTTTGTGCTCTTTGGCCCCCACCTCGCTGAAGACAAGCATTTTACAAAGCGAGCTTGCTAAAGGCTGGTAACGTGAGGACACACTGGGTTTCCTTTGTTAGCTAGTGTCTAACCCTGGCCTTGGATTCCAGCCTTGAAGCTACTTAATGTCTGCAGAAGTTTCTTTAGCTTGCTGTCTGGGACTTTTTAATAAAGACTTTTTGGAAGACCATATAAAAGCTATTCATCATGTCACTTTCTGTAATTACTGTCTTGTTGACTGTCTCAGGCTAATCTAATAGACTGGAGAGGAGTGGTTTTCACTTTCAGAAGCCAGCCTCTTTGTTCCTGGTTATCTTTGGCTGAGTGTTTGATAGTCTCATTTCCATAATTCCATTAGTGTGTGAATTCAGCATCTTATTAAAGATTTTTCCCAGTCTATTAAAAAAAAAAAAAGAAACAAAACCCAAACAAAAATAAAACCACACCAAATAAAGGTAAGAGAAAAAAACCACCCAACCCTTTCCAAAAAGGTATTACTTTTAATTACTGATGTGTCTTACATTATCTTGACCTTAACTCTAGTATCCTGTTGAGAGTTAGAAACAGCGTAAAGTTCAGGAGACAGGGAATTCCAGGTTCCCATCTTTGGAGAAAGCTCACGCTTTGTTTGCGCTGACATTTAAGAGCCTGTGTTTCTTCCCGGCTCCACAGAGAGGACCTGAAACACTGGCATGGAAGCCCAGGTGTGCATTGCCTTCTGGAGGAGCCCCCCATCCAGGTTGCCCCCATCCATCCTCGCGGGCTTCTGGCCCCATGTCCCTGCCTGCTGGGAGCTGCTGTGCCCAGATTTCCAGTGCAGAGATTGCTTCTGGGAACGGGGCTTGTTTACAAAGGCACCAAAGCAACTGCTGTAAACAGCAGAAGAAAAAACAACTTGGTCTTCTCTTCTGGGAGCTCACATTTTTTTCTTTTTGTGGAAATGCTGCAGATACAAGCGTATTTTTAGTTGCAAAGTGTGTCAAAGTTATTGGGCATTTATTTAGAAATAGCTCACTTGATAGCTGCTTTAAATACTTAGACCAGTTATATTTGCTTGCAAGATAGATGAAATATCATGTTCTTAGGTAGATTTTTCTCATCGTTGGAGCTCTAGGTGCTTTAGGGAGGTTGGTAAGCATAGTTGTTTAGGAGAGCTGTCCCCCCTGCAAACGGTTTGACCCCCATTTAGGTGGTTAATCTCTCAATATCTAGGTGACTATTTCTTTAAAAAAAAAATCCCTTTATATAAGAAGAAAAAAGTAAAAATTGTTTTCATACTGAAGAAACATTTATTTCTGAAAGCAAAATCGCCCATTTAAAGTGTCTCATGAAACTGGGAGAAAAGTGTTATGAATTTCCCCTGGTTGGTTCGTTATGCACTGAGTTAATTAAGGTACTTCAAATGCAGCTCTCCTTTTGCATGTATTGAGTAGTGATCACATTGAGTAGATTAATTTATGATGAAGTGGATCCCTGCTGCTCAGTAATTGGCTTTATTATGGAGAAGTGGCTTAGTTCTTCTTTTTAATCCAGTTAAGATATCTACAGTTACTTTCAGTCAAATTTAAAATGACAGCTCATCTATACAAAATTACTGCATGAAGGGCAATATGGTCAATTTAACTTTGTGTTAGGACCTTGTCTGAATTATACAACTGCTATGAAATAGGTGTCTATATGCTTAGAGAGCTGGGTACATTAAAGAGTAACTCCTGACAAATAAACAATTACTGCTTTGGGGAACAGTCTGCTTACCTTATTGATATGATTTTATATATGTCAATATTGATTAGCATTAGAGTCTAAAGTACTAGATTTTGAGAAGCATAGAAAAAAGTGGGGCACTATAAAAGCCAACAAAATACATAGTTGTTCATTTTGTCATTAGCTGTTTTCTTCTTTGGATAATGGAATCAATTTTACCTTTAAAACTTTAATCATTGCTGCCTTACGTGGGTTTCCAACTTCGTAAGGAGAAAATGGTTGTGGATTTTTTCTTTGGTTTTTTTTTTTTGAGAGAGTCTTTATCAGACAGAAGATTAAGAAAAGATAAATGATAGAATTCAGTTACTGGGAATCTTTCCAAACACAGCAGCAAATAGATATTTCCTGTAAATGTTATCAATAAAATGGATCATAGTTGTAGAGGTGCTAATTTGCCCCATAGTCTTAATTTACACCATTAGTTCCTGGTGTTAATCTGGTTACTTTCTACAGTAAGTGCCATTTATGTTAATAGGATTTGTCAGGTAATTCCTTAGCAAATAATTCTAGCCATGCTGGCTTTTAAAAAGAAACTGATTAGAAGTAAGACACCCCTATAGCAGAGCTTGGGAAAATGATTCATGTATTTTGTTTATAACAAGTACACAAAAAGTAAGAGTGAGAAGATAACTTGGTTCTGAGTTAGTAATGTGGAAACATAGTGCCAGCTCGCACTCTTAGGTCTGTGGGAGAAGAGTTTAAGTGGAGAGGACCCTGGAGGCCGTTTTTTAATTTGATGTCTCCTTGCACAGGCAAAATGGTTATGGTGGGGAAAATAGGAATATTTTTTGTTATAAATGCCATATGAAAAATTCTATATATAGGTTTTTGCATATATAAAATGTTAAATTTTCTTTACAGCTGTTTAGGATTCAACTCTAACTCTTATGTTTTTATAGATGCGTGTATCACCTGCAAAATGTTGAAGAAAAACACCCCTTTATAATGTTGGCTCCTGTGATAGATTGACATCATGCAGCTCTGAATAATGCCTTCTGAAGAATTTGTAATATTTTTGCTTTTGGGGAGGAGTGGGATTAGTGTCCATGTAATCAGTGGAATCATCTCACATGTGTCTGTATCTCAGAGACATCCTGGTAGGAATTGCACATCGTAGGTTGCCAGGATCTGGACTGTGCTTTTGCTACTGAAAATGTACGTGTGTTAGCTGGCTGGCTGGAAAATCCTGTTAGGAATCACTGTAAACGGATTTTTTTCAACATTGTAGGAAGTGAAGGTTGATACCATATTCCCACTTAACCCCAATACGTGCCAACTGGAGCTTGGCTTAAATCACATTAAAACTACAGTGCTTGTTCTCCACTTAGACCACAACCACTATCCTGGTTTCTAAATACATCTTTTGGGGCCAATGCAGGCAAGTATTTTGCATGCTTAGAAGTTACAAATAAGCTTCCAGCATTGTACATATTTGCTGGGCAGCAAATCCTATCTACCAATTTCCTTTCCCATGTTGCAAATGCTATTTGCTTCATTATTTTTTTTTCCAGATGGAAGATGCTTTGTGATTTAACTGTTTTCCAAGTGCAAGGAGCTTTGGTTTCATGAGGCAGAAAAGCACTCAGGCAAAATATTTGCATAATGCTTGAGATACCAAAGTGGTTTGGTGTGTGGCAGAAAGATCCCTCTGCTCACTCTTTCTCCTGCAGAGCTGAAGCCAGTTTGTCAGTGGGCTTTTGGGGAGTTTGTGCACATGCTTTTGAAGGTCGAGGGCTTATTCATGCATGTGTCTTTGATCCATGGGGTGACAATGCCATAAAGACCTGCTGGTGAAAGAGGCAAAAGCGTGTAGCAGCTGTGGAGTGGAAGCAGTTTATTTAAAGTAACTATTGCCTTTTTCGGTTTCTGATTTGTACTGAGTAACTGTTTATATCCCCTGACTGGGGAAGTAGGGGCAAAGCGGCTTTTCATGCCATGAAAGACACAGTGAGGGGAGGAAATCCTCGTGAGAGCAGCCCAAATGGACAGTGCTTGGCATCAGCCGCCGTGCTGCTGCTTGCGTCTTGGTGTGATGCCAGCGTCTGAACAGAGCCGACTGGTTTATGTGCATCGCAGAATCATTAATGTTTAAAATATCTGCAACAAACTCGTGCTTGTTTGTAGGTACTGGACTCTTTAAGTCTGGTCAGAGATCTAAAGTGCTGTTACACATGCTTGTTCCTCTCTCTAATGACATACCACTGTCAAGGATGCTCTGAGGATCGCTGCCACGATGAAGAGCAGACAGTGGTCAGCCCCTTCACCTCTCGGTGTGCATGAGCCTCGGGGGGGTTATGCTGTAATCACTTCCCGTTTTAATTAAGGGGCTATTTAAAGCAATTTATTTTATATTTGTTGCTCCTGTAAAGGTAATCGCTGGGTTGATGGGTTTCTCACAGCTTGCTTAATATCAGTGTGCATAGTATTTGAAGAAAACAAACTACCTTTATAGAGTTCTTAGAGGGTTTTTTTTTCTTTTCTTTTTTTTTAACGTTTTTAGTAATTTCTCCATTCCTTGACTCTGAAGCATTATGTGGGATAGAACTCAGAGACTGTATTGGTCAAAGTAGTAATTTTTATAGGGGTAAAAAAGACTTTTTTTTTTTTACAGGTTAAAAGAGGAGATTCTTCCATTTAGATAATTAATTAAGATGTTACATAGAAGTAATACAATTATATCTCAATTTTTAAAAGTTCTTTTTAGGTTTTTTTTCATTTTTTTTCCCAGTTGCTGATGTAGATAGAGGTGACGCTTTCCTTACATCTTAATTGAAGTTGCTTGAATTTGATGTAGCATGAATTCTTCTCTTAATGTCATTTACAGTTCTACTCTGAAGTTTTATATCAGAACAGGTCTGGAACTATCTGAGGATGAAAAAACATAATTTGTCTGCACCTGAGTAAGTTAACAGCCTTTGACATCAGTAGAGCTGTGCTGTTTGTGTCAGATCAGTATTTCTTGTGGAATCTTGCACAGAAAAACAGTAGCCCTTTTTCATTCACCCATTGTTTGCTACAAGAACAATTTTGAGATAATTGGGGTTTTCTGTTTTGATTTGCCACTTTTTCATTTTTAATACACTTTCCCAATAAGTCCTTGTGTTCATTTTAGAAATGATAATGATAAAAAGCATGAAGAGTGTGGGCAGAAGAGAGACTTTGGTTTTGAAAGCTATAACCACTCAAGTGTAAGCTGTATTTTTTTTCTCTTTTTAAAAGGAAATGGCTTAGATCTTCAACACTAATACCATTATTCTAGAGAGGTGCTTTCAGTGTTAGATGTAGTGTACTTATTAAGTATGTCTGGAGAATGGCAGGAAAAATTAAATTGCCTGTCAGGTTTAGTTTGGTGGGAACGCAGTGTTTCCATTAGCTGTGAGAGTGGCCGTTTGATACTTCAATGGCTTGCTGTAATAAGGAACTGATAGTTGTCTGACTTACTCATTCACCTCAACTTGTTGTCCCGAAAAGAAATTACAGGTTTTCTGAGGAACTTTAAAATAACTCAGAAACCTTACCTTAAGTGATAGGGAATGTTACACGTATAATAGGGTAATCAAACATGCCTGTAAAATAGCATGCGTTGCTGGCAATGGGTATGACAGTGATACATGTCCCTAAGCACATGTAAGCAGTGTTAAGCAGGGTCAGAGAAGCATTTTTACTGTACTAAATTACTGCGTATGTCTGTCAGGGGCTGTGTGGTAAGTGCTTAAGATAGCGTGAGTCCTCTCTTCCCTTGGGGCAGCGTTGTGTAGGGGTACGGTCGGTCAGCACCAGCCTGCTCCACCAGACCCAGGGGACAGGAGCGATTGCCCCGTGGGCACCTGGCCGGATGGGGTGGGAGGGGGGGTCTGGGTTCGTGAAGCACTGTGGGCTGTTTGTGTCTCTTTGGTCACAAAAAGGGCTTTAACCTTTCACATAGCCATATCGCTGAGCAAAGTAAAAAGTGGCTTTACTACTCAAGCTGAACAAATAGCTGATGGAAGCAGTCACTTACAATGTCAAGTCACTTTGACTTGGATAGCATTGTCCTTCAAAATTTTTTTTTTTTTTTTTTCCCCCCCCCCGTATTACTCACACTGTTAAAGGTTCCGGAAGGCATAAGGTAAATGTAGTAAAGACAGTATATCATAGAACAGCTCGGGTTGGAAAGGACCTCAGAAGATCATCTGGCCCACCCTTTGGTGGGAAAGGAAGCCTAGATGAGATTACCTAGCACCCTGTCCAGTTGCCTCTTGAAAACCTCCAGTGATGGGGTCTCTACCATGTCCCTGGGGACGTTGTTCCAGTGATGGAGTGTTCTTGCTGTAAAAAAAAAAAAAAAAATTATATATATATATGCGTGTGTATATATATATAAAAATAAAAAAATAAGCTGCATACATAAAACTGACCATCCCCTTGCTGCCCTGGTAGTGATTTATGCAAAAGGTGCCTTTTATGTTTCATCTTGTCCTACTATCCTTCTGTAAGGATATTTTTAAAGTTTAACTGCTGAGGTGGGATGTGTGGTGGCAGAGTGAGCGGGGACAGGGACAGCGAGGAGCCCGTTTGCAGCACAGCCTTGTAACTTAGCAGAGGGGACGAGGCGCAGCTCAGTTCCTCTGGCACCCTTGTGAGAAAGCTGTATCGGATGGGTAGGCTGGGAACTGAAGTGTTACTGGACTGTGGTGCAGCTCCTCTTGCAGCTTGTTCAGAGCTGTGTCATGTACACTCTTTAAAATTGCGTGCATACCTCAGCACGTTGCTGGCTTTAGTGGAACAACATGTGGCTCAATGCTGATGGGAATACCATCCTGCATAATACTCGACTGTTAAGTTTCTTCCAGCCACATACTTCATTTTAACTGTTTGGTGCTGTACCCAGCCGAAGTTGGACACACAAAAGTCGGAGTGTTAGGTTGACTCTTCAGTTTTAATGAACTGGGGGGAAGTTTAATTTGCTGGCCTGCTTTTCTAAGCCTGTGCCAGGGGCTTTTGACAGAAAGGGAAGATTAATGTTAGCGGGCTGCAGTATGGCACCGATTGCTATAGAGCGCTCCAGGCCAGCCCACCAGTGGGACTGTGCTGTGATTTGCAGTACAAGGGAAGGCTTTGTCTGCTTTTATCAAACACCACGTTTCTAACTAGCTGCTTGCCAGAAAAGCACAGCAGGCGTGCTAGAAATAGTCCTTCCCCTGCAAGGGAACTACTTCCATGAGATGCAGGGCTAAATGAATTTTCCTTTGTCGCTCTGAAAAAGAGATTCCATGCATTATGCTTCATAACTGAAACTTTATTTTACAAAGATATTATTTTAAGCAACTATCAGCAAAAGTTATTAAAGCCAAACTTCTGTTGGGACTAGAACTAGTCTTCATAGGTGTTTGAGGGATGATGACGACAACACACAAAACCACAACAAACCACTCTGGTCAAAGACCAGATAGCCTGATTTTTTTAAGCTAAGCAAAGTATAAAAAGTAAGTTATAGTTAAATGGTGAAAATTAACATGGATGAACAGGGGACTTGTAAAGATCACTAGCTGTATGGTGATTTGGACTTGAAGTGATTAGAATTAAAGCAGTAAGCCTTTGAGAAATCTGTAAGAGAAACCTCTGTAACGTATGATTTGCTGAGTATTTCGTGAAAACAGTGCTGCTTTCTTTCTTTATAGGCTGTAAATAGACTCTCCCTTTCCCTGGCTAGCAAGGGGGGATGACAGATATAGGTGTTTGAGTCTCTGTGAGCTGCTTGGGCTAACTGCACCACGCAGGTTTAGCGTGCTTAGGGGCTCCATAGTACCCTAGCCAGCACAGGCAAGGCTGCATGAGTCCTGTTGGGCACTGCTAACATTTGCAAAGTGATGAGTGAATGGGGCGGTTATTGCTAGCAAAAACCACTATTGGTTTCTCAAGGGATAGAAAAGTGACTCTAAGTGAAAGTACTCGTGTAATTTTATTAATATCTGTCATTGTGGCCTTAGTTCCCCTCTTGCATGCTTCATTAACTCATGTAAATTCATTGCCTTTCCTACAGTTATTACTGCCTCATGTTGGTGAAAGTGTGAAAAGCTTGAGCTATAACTTGGTGTTTGGATTTCCTAGAATATTGGAGCATGAGGTGAACCGCAGGTTCCCAACTGTGTGCAGTACTGGCTTATGTCTGATTGTATTCCTCAGTTAGTTGTATTTTACTGCTAAATTGATGGAGTCTTTTTCTTTTTTCTTTTTCTTTTTCCCTCTTTAGCATCAGTGCCTGCTGTTATGATTTTTTTATTTTTTTTTTGGTGTACCTTGAAAGGTGGGTGATTTCCCATGAGGACATCACTTGGGAACTGTATAACTTTAAGCCCTGTCATGGGATGGTTGTGCCAGGAAAGATGGAAGGTTGCTGGCAGGAATGAGGCAGTGCAGGATGCAGCTTTTGAATGGAATAAATCCTTGTTGTGTTCCTCTTCTTCCATCCTGCGGTGGAAAGGAGAAGTTGAGAGAAATGGAAAAAAAGGTGTAAGACACTGCCTGGGTCTACACGGGAGGGATTTAGGGCTCTTTTGGGTAACAGAGGGACATTCTTCACTAGAAACAAGTATCTATCCTCTTGACTTAAGAGGAGTGGGCAATGCTGATGTGATGGCTACGTAGCTAACTGCTTCGTAGACAAAGGTGCATTTGTCATATTCCAGTGTTTTCCCAGTTAAGACTGGTTTCGTTGCACCTGTGCCCCAGGAATGCAGCCATGTCTGCTTGTATGGTGGATACAGCACAAATGGATTGAGCTGAATGCAGCGTGTGAGCTAGCTCATTTGTTTCTATGTAGTTTCTGGCCCTTTCATCTCCATAAAGCAGAACAAATCTGGCTTTTGACTATGAACTGCCAAATTTGGCTGAACAAGTCAGCAGAGCACAGCTTTCTAAATGCTCGTGAACATCTGACTGATGAATGAATGATGGTTGTCTGAATGAATTGCTTTTATCAAGTTATGACAAATCAACGTGTTTTCCCCTAGTTCAAGATTTATTTTTTATTGCTGTGAACTGCAGTTACTGAGTGGTTTGAAAATGATTATTCCTTCTCTTTTCTTCTAAAGGGTCTGGAGTTGTACTTGCACACAAGGCTGATATACCCTCAACAGAGGTTTCCCCTCCAAGTCCCAGTCCTCTGAAAAAAAGCGGATCAATCAACTGGCCTTTCCCTGATAGAATTAAATCTCCCAGGACTGTGAGGAAGCTTTCCATGAAAATGAAAAAGCTGCCAGAGCTGAGCAGGAAGCTGAGTGTCAAGGGAACTTCAAGCCATACTAGTTCAGATAATCCTCCTTCCCTGCCAAAGGCTAGCTGCCGGGATACAAGCCATACGGTGTCTTTGCCATCTTCTGGAAACTCAACCACAGCTGCCAGCAGGAACGTGATAAGTCGTTACCATCTTGACAGTAGCGTGTTGTCACAACACACCTACAAAAAGAAGAGCTCAAGGAGCTCCAAATCCTTCAACAAAGGTGGTTACCTCAGTGATGGCGACTCTCCCGAACTTATAACAAAATCAGGTAAACATGGGCATGAAACCAAGTGCGGGAAAGGAAGGGAGAGCCTTCCAAGTAACAGTGGTAAAACTGAAATAGATATTGATGCTTTCAGACACTACAACTTTTCTGATCAACCCAAGTGCTCTCAGTACATCTCTGGACTCATGAGCATTCACTTCTATGGTGCTGAAGACTTAAAACCACCAAGAATAGACTCAAAAGATGTCTTTTGTGCAATACAGGTTGACTCAGTAAACAAAGCGAGAACAGCTCTGCTTACGTGTAGGACAACATTTCTAGATATGGACCACACATTCAACATAGAAATTGAAAATGCGCAGCACTTAAAGCTGGTGGTGTTCAGCTGGGAACCCACTCCGCGGAAAAATCGGGTATGTTGTCATGGAACCGTGGCTCTTCCCACTCTCTTCCGAGTGACAAGGACACATCAGCTGGCTGTCAAACTGGAACCAAGGGGGCTTATTTACGTCAAGCTGTCGCTCATGGAGCAGTGGGAGAACTCTCTTGATGGCCTCGATACAGATCGGGAGCCTGTGATGTTCGGGGTAGATGCTCGAAAAGTTGTAGAGAAGGAAAATGCAGGCTTGATGGTGCCACTTTTGATGCAGAAATGCATTCTGGAGATTGAAAAGAGAGGCTGTCAGGTACTGTGCATATTTTAATCTGTTTTGTTAATATTTCTGTGTCGGGATAGCTGTTGTTGCAGAGTGTGAGCAGTGAGTGGGAAAGGGGAAATTAAAAACACCTTTACATGTCAAATTTTTGCTTTGCTGCTCCTGTTTGGTGAGCACTAGTCACTAAGGAAGAGTAATGAGACTGTGTGAAATCAGTGCTTTCAACTTGGCCTTTGTAGAGGAGATGTATGCTTGCTCACAGGAGATGCTCACAGTAGTGCTTTAGGACTAGGGATAGTGAAATGAACCTGCAGCCCCCAGTGTGTAGAATCACCCTCAAAAAGCAGAGCTGAGATGAGAACTTGAAAATGCTTGATTCCTGAGACATGGATCACTCTGTAAGGACACGTATCTAAATGCAGAAATGAGTGTAATGTTCCCTCCTACCCAAAACCGAAGCATCGTATGCAGTGACACAAGTGATGAGGACAGGTCTTTTGACAAAACTTTACTTACATGCGTGCAGTCTCAAGCCAACGTGCCAAAGACTTGTTTCTGCCATCACTTTGTGCGCAGCATTAAGATGAGGAGGAGACCCTGGGGCGCTGAATTAGTTGTTTTGCCGTGCCACTGCTCCTTGCCTTTCTTCAGGTAGTTGTCAGAATTAGGACAGGAGATGAATGCTGTAAAGCAGCAGTGCCCAGTGTCTTCTCTTCATCCTAATACAGTTTATTGGTTGGTGTAACCTAATGGACAAAAATATGTTTGAGAAATGAGGTATGGAAACAAATAGCCAGTTACAGATGCTAGAGAAGTCTGTTAGTAAGGACTATGCATGGTCCTAAGGTTGGACGTTCCCCATGGCAATTAATTTGAAACTGGTGGGATGACTCTTGCATGCTGTTCCACAACATGTGTGAGCCCTTGGTTTCTTTTACACCTGTTCTTGCTCAGGTGAAATTGAGAAGTAATCACACCTACCACTGTTACTATTTTAAATTGCTGACAGGTTGGATATAGTTCCAGGTGTTATGAGATTAACTCTGCTATTTATAACCTAGGTCATAAAATACATAGAGAAATGGTACTCCTATGTAATGACTTTGCTGAAAGTCACTACTGATAATGACTGTATGATTCTTATTGTGAATGCTTCTCCTAACATTATGCAAATCAGTGGAAAAGAGAAGTTTTATTCTTTCCAATGTATGTGTCCCATGGTTTCAGCATTTTATTTTGGGCTTATTAGCACCTAGTCATGCAAATGATATTGGGTAATCAAGGCAACACTGGTAATGAAGCGATTGGGATCTGAATTGTCTGAATGTACCTGGTGCCTTTGAGCATGAAATCTAATTTGGAAGGGAGAACCAAAAATGCAAAATATACCGTTAACTTGTTTTAACCACGTGCTTGTCTGACATTTTTGACTTTCCTATAGACTGCAAAACTGTCATATTGTGTTTTCTCCACCTGAATTTCACATGTGGCACTAGAAAACTTTAAAAGTTTAAAAGAAATTGTCTGCAAATACTAGATCGTATTCAGTCTTGGGAAAGAGGGGAGTACAAATTCCATTCAGTAACTTTTTCCATTTATTTAAACAGGAATTAATATATGGCCAGACGAATATTCTTGTTTGCAAACCTAGATTTGCATGGTCTAAGTCAGGGTTTTTGGTTTTTTCATCTTTTGAGTCCATGGTAGTTTTGGACTAACCATTTACTGCTTAGTACAGCTGCCTATAAAGTTCATTAAAATAAAATGAATATGTTGAAGATTTAGTTCCTTAAGATCATAGGAGTGCTTTGTATAAATGGTGTTGATGAAAATTAAAAGTAAATAATGATAAAATGCAAAATTTGAGTTAATGAAAGCACATGATTAAACTAGTAATTCAGTCCAACAGTGTTGTGGGTTTCATTCCTATCACCTTGAGCATGTTAAATAACCCCTCTTTTGTATAAAACTTTTCATATAATTTGAAGCACATGGAAGTCAATGTCTTATCATCTTAAAAACAGCACATTCTAGGTGTAATAATGGAGTATTCGTAATTTCCTTAACATACATGTCCAAAAAATTGTTCTTGTTGCGCGTCCTGGATGAGACAACACGTGATGTCAATTGCTAGTCCCCTCTGCAGGAAAGTGACTGATGTGGGGCTGTTGTTTTTGCTTCCAGGTGGTAGGCCTGTATCGGTTATGTGGCTCAGCAGCGGTTAAGAAGGAGCTTCGGGAGGCCTTTGAGAGGGACAGCAAGGCTGTTACCCTCTGTGAAAGCCAGTACCCAGATATTAATGTCATAACAGGTAATAAATATATTTACTTGCTTTTCTTTTAATATAGAACTGTGCTGTGTTCCTAACATACCTCTTAAAAGGTGAAGTAGTGCTCTGAAGTAGTTTTCTGTTGTCCTTTAACAAGCTGCTAACTGGTGCTTTGTATTGCTGAAGGTTAGCTGAGAATGAGGGCAGTAACTTTGGGGATGTGTAAGTAGGAAGCAGCAGGGATGGGGAGGGAGGAGGGTATGGAAGGAGCTGCTTTCGGAAACTGCTCTACCAGTCACAGAGGGAAGTGGAAGCTGGAAAGGAGCCGAGGTCCCTGAAGCCTGTTAAGGCTCTGTGGATCTTGAAAAACGTGGTTGTGATCAGGGCACATGCGCTGTGCTGGTTGTTCTGCAACGTGTGATCCAAGGGCCATCTCGGATCAACGCGCTGTCCTCCCTTTATGTTGGAGACTGCAGGACTTTCGGAAATGGATTTTTCATTCTTTCAAAATATAGTTAAATAGCAGCTTTTTCGTGCTCGCTGGAGTGGCCATTTACTTGCGGTCAGGCAGCAAGCTCCTGGCAAAGGTGAGGAGGGCTGGGGGTATGGGAACAGGAGGTCTTGGGAAACCTGTCTGCGTCTGCATCAGCTCCTTACGGCAGTGTCTTCACAGCAGTTGCACTGCACAGCTGAAGAAAGTTGTTGAGGTTTTCTTGGTTTGCCTAGAAGTGGAACAGTTTTATAACTATTGATACTTGTTATGTAAGCCAAAGTTGATCTAATTTCAGGCATCACTGAGTAAACTAATTGCTCCAGGAAATTAGCCAGGAGCATTCGTTTCCTCCATATCCAGGAATGGAAAGACGTAACAACAGTAGTCAGGGTATAAATTTTCTGTGTCAAAGCCCTTTCTGTAACATCTGACATCCAGCTGTATGGGATAGTTCTACCCTGTTTGGTGGTTTATTTCATTTCAGTGTATTGGGAATGAATTTCGTTCATTACACTTTACAGTTACACAAAGCAGTATCAGAAGATACTACTCGGTGTCATTTATTGGGTTAAGTAGACTTTTTCGTTCAGAATGTGCAGCTAGTCAGTTTGCCTTACTGGCTTTGGCTGGATTCACTGTTGGGTTCAGTGTTGCTCCCAAGTAGTGGTGTTCCCAGCAGCAGAAACTTGTGTTTCACTGTGATGGGATACACCCTTTAAAAAGAGGAGGTGTACAGTAAAAGTAAACAGTGAAAAGATCTTTCAAACTTTTAAATTTTCTTCTCTTTACAAATAAATTAATGAGAAAAAGTGGTGATAACTTCTAAGATCAGATTGTTCCATGAAATTATTGAAGTCCTGTTTTCTTCCCAATTTTTGTAAATCAACTCAGAAGGGGAAAAAAAACCCTTCTGTTGCATTCTGCCAAACAGCAGAAACTGTCTGATATTGACTTACAAGCAGACAAATGGCAAACTGCTGTTTGGTTAATGTAAACTTTTGACTAATGGAAAACTCTGGGGTTTTGTTTGGTTGGGTTTTTTTTAATTTTTGAATAATAAAAATGGCATTGCACTCCCATGCTACAAGTAATCATTACAATAAAAGAGTATTTGCAGAAATGGTTCAGGAGTATCATGGGAGAGGGTATATAAACTTAATTCTCATCCATATACAGAAGAACCTGTAACTTTTTCATAAGCGTTTTGGTTTTACCTGAGTACATTGTACACTCAGAACCAAGCAGAACTGCCTGAAACGGAAGTCTGAACTGCATGAGTACTTAGTACTGATGCAAAACTGAGGAAGGGCAGTGGCACAGTCTGACTGATCTTTCCATCACGAGTTTATGATGCAGTGGTTAAATAGAAAAGTGTACTTCAATTTTTCAATATACATTGCTGCAAGCCTCATTGGTGATGACGAACTTTTGGTGACCGTGCAGGTCCTGCTAGACTCTTGGTCCTTTTTCTGGTTGTACTACTGAAGGATAATTTTTTATATACAGAATTTGTACTGTGAGAGTGAAAAGACTACAGCCTTGGTGTCTGTCTTACAGAAAGACTACTGGGTATGCTTTTGTATATGTTATATTGGAAGAGTTAACTTACATGCTGCTTTTCTTACAAGTTAAAAATAGTTTTAAGAAATTACTTATAAAAAAAAAAAAATTTCCTGCGGTACCCCTGCAGCTGTGCTGTATGATTGCCTGTAGTGCCTGTGTTAGTATTGTGTTGAAAGGACTGGGTGCGGGGGTCTTGCATGAGTTGGGGAGAGCAGGGAGGGAGGGGGTGTTTGCACCCATAATTTCCACTGACCACAAAGCAGCCTGCTCTCTAATTGTTTTAAACAGTGTCATCTGGATTGCAGGGGGAACCTGCAATTTTTGCTGACAGACGTCAGGTACCCACCGTGCTTAGTGCTAGGAATAAAAGAGCCCACAAAACATCTCTTGCTTATGCTTAGGGAGGTGGGTTGAGGGTGAACGTTTCCCCTGATGTTTTACTGCTGTATTTGCAATGCTGAGACTGATGCACGTGATTCATACTTTTATCAGCCGAAACATGTGTTCCGTAAAATGTGAATCCTCAGCATAAATCTTGGTTGATTTGAAGAGAAGTGCCGCCTTGTATCCTTTTTGAAATTTGAGTAGCGCTCCTTTTCAAAAAGATTTAAAAGATACTCAGTTTTGACAGCTCTCCAAAGACTAGAGAATGAACATTTAATGATTAAATCTTGACTAAGAAATGCTTTTGGGATTGGCACAGGCTTACACACAATTAAGTGTGCTCATGGCTCACACTGAAGCATGCAGCCAGTTTTCAGAACTGACCAGTAGCATGTTGTTGCATCGTGTCTGTTTGCATCCACGTGAATTCATATCTCTGCATAAAGCATGCAATACTGTTAACAGTTCAGTGGGTCAGAAAAATGAGGACTTAATGAAGTGGATGATGATTTCTGCTCACTGTCTAAATTTGTTGTATGTGGTTGTGTCAAGGGGAATGTGCTAGTGGGCTGGCAGCAGCGGGAAGCATAGATTCGTGGAAAAAAATAACAGCAGCCTCTTACAGGGCTAATTTAGCTGAGTGAATAGTAAAAGGATTTAGAAAGGTCAAGGGGCATTCATGGCTCCCAAACTAGCCTGTTATTCAGGGCTAAACAGGAGAAAGTCCTTTGGCAGGTGGTAGTCCTATGACTGTGGATGCTATTATAGGAATTCCTACTAAATGATTATTAATAGATGGTTGTGAGTGTTTCAACAGTATAAGCTGATTTGATTACAACATACCATTTCCTACTGTAAGCTGATTCTGATGTCAGCCTCCCCCTCCAAAAAAAGCACAGCTGAAACAAAGATCCTGATAAAAGTCAGCATATCTTGCTAGTGTTCTGTTTCGGGAAAAAGGAAAATGTCCCAAACTTTGTTGTACAGCACCAGCCTCTGCCACGTTTGTCTTGTGAATATTTTAACCGGCTAACCCATGCATGGAACACAGGCCTCTCAACGCTGGGGAAGACACATTGCTCCTGGATAGCATCCTGCTGTGTCCTTTCCAGGGGGCTGCAGTTAGAAGTCTTGAAGTTTTGGATTTTTTAGTTACTTACAATCACTGAAACCCCACTCAAGTATCAGCCAGCCTCTAAAGCCAGCTTACAAGAATGCAAATGCTCAGTTCCTTTTTGTTTGTTTACATCTGTGGAAGGAATATGGGTTAGTGAAGTGGTTGCCTGGTTGTTGCATCCCCTAGAGACAGCCTCTCCTCCAGCACGTCCCCAGCTTCTGCAGCAGCGCAGTATGTCTCTAACTGGGAGGGCTCAGTACGTGGGTATCTTAGCCAGTGTCTCCTGTGGATGTGAATTACATTTGTCACAGCAGAAGGAAGGGATGGGCTGGGGGGTACAGAGTACCCAGAGGCAGGGGGGAGTTGGCATTTCGCTCTTGAGGACATCTGTTTGGTTTGTGCGTTGGGAGGTGAGAAAACGCTCTGTGCTTCACCAAACATGCCACTGGCACTGGGATGTTTGCTCATCATTTTATAGCTGAAAACTGAACAGAAGAATTAACTACCGGTTGTATACAAAGGAGGAGGTGTCATCAAGCTGAAGACTTTGGTGTTTGTAGGAGCTCCTTTCCTTGGACAGGAGGTGGACTGCTAAGAGCACTTTCCTTGCCTCTCCCTCGCCCCGGTCAGGAGGGAGACCTGGAGAGATGCTCGCCCCGTGCCCAGCGTACCCGCTCCTGCGCGCACAGCAGCCCCTGCGGGCACCCCTCTTCTCTGGAGGCAGTGCACCTTCCTACCCTGGCTTCACCCCTTAGTTTGTGACGAGCTGCCTTGGGTGGGCTTGGAGAAGCAGCTGGGACTGTGGGGACGGGGGTGCTGGTACCCCCAGTCTCGCGGGGACGTTGCGGGGAGACCTCCTGCCTCTTGGCTGGCCCTGTGGGGAGCCCTCGCGTACCCGTGGTTCACTGTGCCTTTTTGCTGTCGTCCTCCCATCCCTTGCTGAGAAGTGGAAGGTTTGTCACTGACATGGAGGATTTTCTCATGGGGTGGTTGAAGCTGATGTGCCTTAGTGCTCCCCAAGGTCACTGGAAAGTGAATCTGCAGCTTGTTAAAGGCAGCTGTTCTTGTGTCTCTTGTGAAGGCGTCCTAAAGGATTACCTGCGAGAGCTACCCTCTCCCCTGATAACCAAGCAGCTCTACGAAGCAGTGTTAGATGCCATGGTGAAAAACCCCTTGAAAATAACAGCAAACGGTTGTGAGAATGACCCGAGTGACTCTGAGCACACAGCAGCCCTTCTGGATTGCCTGCCAGATGTTGAGAAGGTGAGCAGTGTTAGCAGGTTCAGGTTAATTGCATGCTTCAGAAAATAAAGGAACATTTTCACACTGGATATAAAATGTGTCAAAATGTGTACACCTGTTTTCTGACTTAATGGTCCACTTGGATTTTTGATGCCTCACGTCTTTGAAAATACTTCCATGCTGTGATTAATTGGAGGGTCTGCATTGCTGGGTTTATTCTAGTTTGCATTTTATATTGTCTCTCTAAAACTGAATGAAAAGCTGTGATCACTACTTTTACATTGTTAGATCAAAGATTATTCCCATGTGGTGTCCTGCTCCATTTCTGTGGAGCTCTCTGATCTGTATATCATAATTACATGGGTAAATGTGTTCCTCTTTCCTAAGCATGTGCAATAAAGCCTTCGCTTCCCATGTAATAGCACTGTGTGGCATTATCTGCCCAATTCACCTCTGTAGAAAACCACAGTTAGCCTATGGGAGAGGGTAAGTGGCCTGCACGGTACCTGGAAGTTACCTGGAAGCTTGTTCTGATCCTGAGGTCATATTGAGGGTTTCTTTATTTTCTAATGTACCTGGATCATCTATACTGCTTCTGCAGTTTCTCTCCCCTCCCTGATGACCCCTTTCTACTGTGAGAAAACTCATCTGTATAAAAGCGTGATCAGGTAAGAAACAAGCTGAATTTTACCAGAAAGTCTGTCTTAACTAGTCTGCTCTGTGATAGTCTAATACAGCTTTTCTAATTCAGCACTTGGATGTTCTATTGATGGGTGTTGGTAGAAAAAACATAGCTGTCAGCCTTGATCTTATCCCTCTAGAGCAGTGATGGTAGGATGTCAACACCACCTTTGTCTAGTGTTTTGTTTCCTGAGCAGTATTTTGGTTTTTTTAGGCTACCCTGAAGATGCTGTTGGATCACCTGAAACTGGTGGCTTCTTACCATGAAGTAAATAAGATGACGTGCCAGAATTTAGCTGTATGTTTTGGGCCCGTGTTACTGAGCCAGAGGCAGGAGACCACAAACCATAACAACAGAGTTTTCACGGACTCAGAAGAGCTTGCTAGTGCCCTGGACTTCAAAAAACACATAGAGGTTCTTCACTATTTACTCCAGCTGTGGCCAGGTACTGTTTCATGAATCTGGTCAAGGGAAAATGTCAAACCATTGCTGTATGTTTTTACTGTGTGACAGTGTACATTAAGTCACAGGATAACTGAGCAGCGTTGGAATTCTTAGAACACAAGGGACTATGGTGTCACCTATTAATCTAAAGAAATCATGACAATTTCATAATCTACTGTTTGTATTCAGTTACTTTGTTTAATGGGAAGTTTGTTATTTTATTACTTTCTTACTAGATGGCAGAGTCCGAGTATGATGTAAGAAATGGCGAAGAGTGCTTTATGTGAGTAAAGACACTAGAAAAAACAAACCCAGTGACAATAAGGTTTCCACATCTGAATTAGGGGGTTTTGGGATGTGTTGGGTTCTTTGTTTGGTTGGTTTTTGTTGTTGGTTTTTTTTTTTTTTTCTTTCTGCTCCCCTTCTTTGACCATTCAGGATTATCTGTGTATTGAATTCATTAGTTGTTTGGTTTCTGAGGTAGCCGAAAGGTTACTTTATTTCTGCCCTTGTAATTTGGCCAAGTTGGGAACATCCTTACAGTAAGAGCTGTGCAACTTCTAGTCGTTTTTGCAGAGCTTTGTGTAAGGAAAAATATTTTAAAACCAAAACACAACAAAAAACCCAAACCAAAACACCCTAGGTACCTTTTAGCTCCCACTTCCAAACTTAAGAGGTCATATGCTTTTGCACAGTTCTCAATAAGAAGGGAGGTAAAATTTTGATCTTCCTAATAAACTACCAAAAGGTAGCGAAGGTAACTATTTCTGCTAAGATCTGCCTTTCAAGTGGGGAATGATTGCACGCTGTTCACATTTCCCCTGGTATTCAGAGAGGCATAAGCCAGTGGAAATAGTCAGGATGACATCTGGAGCCCTGGGTTTCAGTCCGCAGTGAATTCCTGTGCCTTGCTACTGCTGCTGAACCACAGCCTTCTCTTGTGCAAGCACTGCCCGAAGTCAGGAGCAGAGAAGGTATTGTAGCTTTTCAGTTAAACAGGGAGAGTTTGAGGATAATACTGTGAAACAACTTAACATTGGATCTGATGGGTTTAGTTTTGTTTTCAGATAGTCTTTGGCCAAGCAATTGTTGAAAGCTACCTAACCATGCAGAAGGTGGGTCTGTTATGTGGTGCTGTTGTATATTCCTTTTTCACAGTGGTCTGGCTAATGGTGTGGAGAACTGCTCTGTTTGGTAACCTGAATAATTTAATGTCCACTTCTTGAATTCAAGCAGTGCAAACCCTTTAATTCTAGAGGCTAAGAGAAGATTCAGCTTATCTAAACAGTTTCTTAATTGTTCCCTTTTAGAACACAGTAATTGCTCTTGGGGAACTGCTGAATTTTTGCACCAATTGAAATGTGCAATGGAATTAGTTAACCTAAATGAATAATATATCTGATTGCGTTTGTTTTTAAAATGTGGAGGGTCACGAAGGGCCTGACGTGGCAATACTGAATTACAGATGCTGTGGCTGCATTTGAGCCACCCAGGTGGACTCTGCTTCTCTGTGTTCAGAACACAAAATATTCCCTGACTCATTTAAAGAGTATTTGGGAAAAGACTTGGTTGGGGTTTTTTGGTTTTTTTTTGTCACCTGCCCCCCATTGCAAACATTTTTATAAAGAGAAATTGGCATTCCCAGCTAGGTGGTTCTTGAAGCATTTTATTCTGGAGGGCTCAGGAAGGGCTCCTGACATGTAAGCATGAGTTGGCAAAGACCTGTATCTGGCAGATTCTATACAATAATTTAAAAAAAAAAAAAAAAAGTGTCTAGATTTGTCATCTATTCCTAGACATGAGGTATAAATGAATGTGTGCTAGCAGACAAAGTGCAGGATAGGCACATGAATGTGTAGTCTTTGTCTTAGTAGTTCATAATCAAACTGTGTAAGATGTATGATCTTGCTGTTAATTAAAGGGGGTTTTATGATTACAAAAAAATATAGGAATCTACACTGTATTGTTGTTATGCAGGTCATCTTAAACAGTCTTAGCCAGTAATACTTGTTAGGTTCTTACCTAGAGATTTATTTTAAATTTTAAGGTAGTTCTGGGGGGGCTCTTTTTTGTTTTGTTATTTATTTTAATTATGAGAGAGAGAATTTTTGGGGAAGGCTTAATAATTTCTTGGATAAAACTATGACAGATCAGGGCAAGTGAAGCAAATGTAAAAGAAGAGAGTTCACTGTAATCTCACTTGATGAGCACAGTGTAATTGCCAGGTTTGTGAATAGCCCGCTGAGGTCTTTCAAGTCCTCAAATGTTTCTTATGGTATATCAGATACTGATTAGTATAAAGAATATTCTGGGTAAGACAGTGATTTCAGCCACCGTGGGCTACTTCTTCATTGCTCTTACAACAGTTTCCGCCCCGAGGAGTATCGCTAGGCTCCTTCCTACTGCTGCAGACCTTGTTGGCGAGAGCCACTGCGGATCAGGGTGGGTTGCTGCTGCGTGGGCTGTGGCAGCTATAGCAGCTGGCGAGCCCCTGCGCCTGCCTTTATCTCTTAACAATGGGAAAGATGAGTTTGGGGAAAAAAGTTGATGTAGACAACTAACGTACTGGAGAGAAAAAAAACCCTAACAAATATAGTCTCAGTTGTGTTGTCAAATTTTTTCCCCCCACTTAAGTCTGATTTAGAATAGTTTGCTTGCATTAGATGTTGCTAGCCCCTCTGCCCTGACTTTCAGCTGAGCGGGTGAGTTGCTTTCCAGCAGCTCAGGCACAGGTGCTGAAAGGATGTCACTGGCTGGGCAGCTTGAAGAGTTGCTTGTGGACGATGCAAATGGCAGTTCTTTGTACATTTTTCCCATGTTCTGCTGACCTGATGGTGGCCGTGGCCTGGGGTCACCTCCTGTGACAGCTGACCCTGTGGCTACAACAAGTACATGCTGACCACGTGCTGGGTCAACACTGCTGCAAAGCTGCTGGCTGTTGGCTTTGCTTGCTGCAGCCTCACAGAAACCTTCTCTGCCAGAAAATAAGAGCAAGAGGAGAGTTAGTTTGACAAATGGTACAGCTTGATGATGGGCTTGAGGCGATTGAGGACGCTTCTGCTCCTCTGTCAGCTGCTGCTGGGCAGCCCCAAAGCTGCTGACCACCAAAAATGAAAAGAAGCTTTCAGTCAGGTCAGTGAGCCTGCACAGGAGAGGTGGGGAAACGTGGGTGGAGGAAGAGGGAGACCAAGAGCTGTTTGGGCAGCAAACACTGTGCAGGAGCTAATCACGAAGCCCTGGGGATGGCTTATGGCATGGCTGCTGCGGGAAACAAAAGCAGGTGGATGCAGCTCTGCCCGCAGGAGTGTGCATTGCTGTAAAGGGGGCAGGAGTAGGGTAAGTAGAGTTTTCCTTCACCTTGAAGAGAAGGCTGAATGCTGTCCCTTGGCTTGCCAGAACCGTGCGGGACATTGCGCTAAAAGGGAGGTAAAACACGAACGCAGAGATGTGAGCAGGCAAACACCATACAGTGGAAACAGAACAGTTGGACCTGACGGAAGGATTGCAATCTGGTCCCTTACACTTAATCTTCTGTAGATTGGGACAGCTTGATAATCAGCATCTTGTGCAATACTTCAATTTCTGTATTTTTCGAACCGAAAACAAATAGTCCTTGTTCGGTTAGACCATGTAATACCGGCAAGTTATTGTTAACCCATGGCCCTTCGTCTTAATGGAGCATAGTCTAAACAGAAGGGCTTTTGTTATAGTAAGGGCAGCGAGGGGAAAAGCAGTGATAGTTATTGCATGTTACTGTGCAAGATGTAAAGTAAGACTAAAATCCCCTGGAGAGACCTGTAATGCGGACCCACAAAGAGAAGCACTGGGCACATCTCGGGTCTGAGCCTTTGTGCTTGTGTGTGAGGAGCCTGACGAGGAGTGGGCGAGATTGTGAACTGCATGGGTTTGTGTGCGCCGTGTTTTCAATGGTGAATGGGAATAGAAGGTCTCCGCTGCTGATTACAAGAGGTAATGGTCTGTATAAAACCAAAAGAAGCTTTGCAGCTCAGGTGCTTAATAGGCACAGGTCAGTAAAAATATTTGTGCTGTTTACTGTAGGAAGCCGGTAACAGTGGAGGAGACTGTTAGTAACTTATGCCGTATAATCGTGAGCTCAGGTAACACTGCCATCAAACCTGTTTGAGTGTACGTCTGACATGGGGTTGTGGCTGCTTAGAAAAATTAATGCAAATGAGCTTCTTTAATAGCGCAGAACATCAGGGTAAAAGAGAAGTGCAAGAGTTCAACTCTTGGTGTGTCTTGAGCTTCTCTAGGTGTTTCTCAGCGGTGGTATTTTTGTTGTGTTTTAACCTCTTTTGCTGTGCCTGCTTTCTGTTACTCCTTTAGCCTGGACAAAGCGTGTGAGCTGAGCTTTTTGCTTTTCTTTGACCCAGAGTCGGGTGGTGATTTAACTCATGCAGTGAATCTAATTGGTGCTCTGGGAGTTTCTATTTTTAGATAGGCTTCTCCGTTGCAATTTGAATCTGGCATGAATCTTCAAAACTGAGCTTTTACAGTAGTTTTTCTAATTATTTTACATCAAACAGTGGCAGAAAATGTAATAGTGGAATGTGCTGGCTGTAAGCTTGCATGTATTCATGCATGCTGTTAGCGTGTGACATCGAGGGAGGACAGTGGGCATCTGTCACAGACTTCTCTTGTTGCAGCATGGATTCAGTCCTGACTGGTTTAACTTCTCCTCTCTTCTAGTACATCACTCGCCTGCCAAAGAGCCAGCACACCTGAATGCATTTCCCGAGCACCCATCCTCCCTGAATTACCTGAGACCCAAGAGGCAGAGACCTCAGATGCTGAATCTGAGTGGTACTGAGATGTCTGGGGTACTCAGACCAAGGCCAGCAGGTCTAGACAGCCCGTCGAGCAACCGCTACGCTGGAGACTGGAGTAGTTGTGGGGAGAACTACTTCTTAAACCCAAAAGACTGCCTGAGTGAAGCAGACTACGATGATGTCCCTTCAGAAGATACGGAGAGTGGGGATGACAGCAGCAAAGCTGAGGAGTTGGATGCCCCGGTAAGATACCCGCAGCCCATCCCCAGAGAGCACACGTTTCAGAGCTATTTGACAATGCAAGCAATAGACTCCGCGGTGGATCACAGAGCAAACCTCAAAGACCTGCAGGAAAGTATTGATACTCTGATAGGAAACCTGGAAAGGGAACTCAACAAAAACAAACTAAATATGAGTTATTAAATCCTGTCCTGCACACCGCCGCCTCCTTGTGCCTCCATGCCTCTTGTCGGGCTTCCCACAGCCGTGTGAGGAGTGACGGTGCCCCTGAACGCCTTGGGGTAAGGCCATGGCCCACCTTGTGTTAACAAATTTTAAGCCATTCCGTTATGTTTCTGCCTTTTTGTTAGAAGAAGGTGTTGACCTGATTCGGGTGCTGGAGACAAGCTTAGAGACCATGAGGTGATTCCACGTAGTGGCATTTCTCCCTAAAAAGACTATGCACTTAGGTGGTTTAGGCAGTAGCTGGCAGAAGATAAAGCAACATCTCTGCTGTCAGTGGCAGAACTCCTCGCTCCTGAAATCCTGACTCCGGTACAGATGTTCCTCTTGGAAGAGGATGAAAGCTGCTTGGCCTGAGTTTTGCAGCATGGACTTCAGATAGACTTGTTTTACTATATATGCAATGGCTGCTATGAAAAATGCTTTATATATATATATATATAAAAAATATTTATATATAAAGTTTTAATTGTACAAATATTAACGTATTCCTGTATTAACCCTTTTCAGTAATTATTTAAACGAGCAAAAATTAAATATTTTTCTAACCTTGTTTGTATATATCTATGTATAAATGTGCATGTGTCTGTAGCCACCTTTGGAAAAGAGAGGTCTCTCAGAATTATGAAACGGACCCATTTCTAGGAAGATGTGTTCAGTGATGCCAGGATGACATTACCCCTTGGGTAACACTGCATTTGATTTATGCGCAGAAACATGGCCAGAGAGAAGGCCGGGTGAATGATTAATATAAATGACCTTGTGTGTTGCAGGGACATCAGTTCGCAGGTGTTGACTATTAACTCACTCTCACATGCCACCCACCCCCATCTTTTTTTCTTTTTTTTTTCTCCCCTCCCTCCTCTCCATGTTTTTTCATCTGTAAAGAAGGTCTGGATGGTACTTACTTTTAAAAAAATACTTCTGGTTTGTCCTTGTAACTTATTACTTTATTCTTGGCATTTCAATACTTCTTTATTCTCTGGTTTCATGTATTTTTCATTAAGGTACCTTTAAGGCCTTAAGACCGTTAAGGTCTGGCTGCTGGTAGTTAGACGTGTTTGAGCCCTCTCTGAAGGTCTGTGGCTCTGGCAATGCAAGACTCAAATTCTGCAGAAAGGCAGTTACTTTTTTCTCTGAGTCTTTTAGTTAAATTAATCTCCCAAAAATGGAAACCTAAGTTGTTACCTGGGGTTGAATGGGTTGAGTGATGTTACTCCTGGGGAGTTTGGGTGGGATTGCAGTTCACTGTGACTCTATTAGATTCAGCTATCCTCCATCCATTTGGGTCATCTTTTATCATTAGTAATTTATGGCAAGTAATAGAAACACATTCTTGGTTTAAAAACCATTACCAAAGTGCATACAGATGTTTTGATAGTCCCTCTAACCAAAAGGAGATATGGTGTCATTCCTTGTCCTTCACAGGTCACCCCCAATGAGGAAGGGGAGGTCGGGGCAGGTGGGGGCTAGAGGGTTATGTGTTTTGAGAGGTCAAACACTGAATTGCTGTCAGCTGGCAGGGTAGAACTTAATTCTTTTCATCTTTTTGGTACAATGTTGGCATCCTGCCATGGCTTTCCCTTCACCCTGTGGGTAAGTGCTTTTCTGCTAACCCATACTTCCTTATATTGCTTAATTGAAGAGTTATTTATTTACAGTAGCAAGGAATTAAGAATTGCTATGGCAAACTTCAGCCCTCTGTTCTAAGGAATTATTTTAGCATGGTTTCAGATGGTTTATCCAATCTCATTAATTTATTTTTTATAAGTGTTAAAAGATGCAAAACAATTATTGCAATATAATGATAATGTATGAAAATGTAAATTTAACCTGAAGCATTTATCAATAAATTGATGTATTTTTTTAAACTTTTATACCTACAGAATGTGCATACTTTTTAAACTATAAATTTAAATTCTAAATAAAATTTGAATTAAGAACAAAATTTGACTAAGCCTAGTTAGTGATTATTTAAATCTGTCTAAGCTGATGCCATCCATTTGCACTGGCTGCACATGTGAATTAATTCCATAAAGACATTTAGCTTTTCAGAAGATGTTTTGTTCTGTTGTCATTTTTAGATTGACCCAACATTTCGGCTATATAGTTAAAAAAAAACAAAACAAAAAACCACCAAACCACTACTCAATTTAAATCCAAAAGGGATAATATTCTAGGAAGCTGTCAAACCAGTGTTGTGGCAGCATTTCTTCTAATGCAGGATGCTGATGCTTTTGAACATAACCTGGCTTCTGCACTGGGTGTGTAGATGTATTGGCACTAGTTGAAAGATGTTCACATTTAAAGTTATTTGATAAATGATATATTAAGTTTGCATTTTTTATAATAATCTAGATGTTGTAAGTGAGCACCTTTTGAGTAAGCGTAAGCTTTTTCTACAGGAGGGTTCTGTAACTCAGTGCAGCGGTGCGCTGCACTTTAATATTTTAACCTTACAACAGGGGAAATTAATGACTTGATAAACTGTATTAATGTTACTCTAATAAGCTAATTAAAATATAGTAAAGTATTGGTATTTTTCAAATGAAACATTTGCTGTTAATCTAGTTATAACAATGAGAAATCCTCTTTTAATGAGACATTTCCCAAGTGGTATTTTTGTTATATGTTGTCCCTTATATGTACTTACAGATTATTATATTTCATATAATCATTTATATAATCTGGTCAAGTGTATCCTTCTTATGATTGTTACAGATTCTTAAGAGACAGCATTAGCATGGGAATTACCCTAATCTAGAAACACTAAATTGGGAGGTTAAAGCAATGTGCTTCTACCAAAGTAGTATTGCATGTTTTTTATACAAAAGAGCAGCCTCGGGCTGTGTGTGGTTTGCAGGGTAGAGCTCCTGTCAAACCCCATGGGCACAGCCAGGAGCTTCTCCTACTGTACTAACCTTTGTTGTTGTCTGCTTGGTGTAACTCAGTGTGCCATCAGGAGCAGTTCCTATTCTGCAGGGGCTCTTACTGCTCCTAGCAGAGGTTAAAAGCAGAGGGCAGAGCCTGCAGTTGAGTTCAGAAATCAGGTGTCCTTGGAGTGTATGGACTTCCTTCAGGGGTGACCTCTGCTTCCCAGGTAAAGAAAATGGATGCAGATGCTCTTACAGAAACAGTTCCAAGACTTGCACCAAAATCGCATACAGGTTGTTACACCCAAGTATGGGGCAGTGCTGGCCGCGTGCTGGGCTGGGTAGCAACCAAGAATTGTAGTTTGTAGTCCTCGGGGAAAAGCAGAAATGCATCGGTAGGTCTGTGCAGCTCTTTGCTGCCCAGTGTTAAGGCCATGATACACTTAGGTGGGTTCAGGAGTGGACTAGTCTCATTTGTAGAGTTCTAATCCATTGCTGTTTGTTTAAACAGGATTGTCCAGATGCTGCCTGGGCTGTGTGGAGTAGAGGGATTTGCAGCATGGCCTTGGGCTGGCTTAAGCTGCCGGGGACCTACATCCCCAGAAACTTCAGATCGTTAGATCTGTCTTTTCCAAATGCATAACGTCTGTGTATGTTCATTAACGCACCAGGCAAGAAATGTAGCTGCAGCTATTCAGACATGCTCTAAAAATAGAGGGAAACGTCTCCAACAGAAGTAGATATTCAGGGTTTTTGCAGAATAAATCTATAAATCTGATAAGCCAGAGACACATTTGGTATTTCAGCTGCCAGATCTTAACCCCTTCACCTTCCTTCCCATCCCAAGGTATAGGGTTTTCTTAACAGTAAAAATGTATTTTGATGTAAGAATTCTTTATCTCAAATTCTGGAGCTAGCAACAGTTCAAAGATGGTTATTTGGGGTGTGGGAGGACTGGTGTTACAGTTTAGTGTAACTATGATGCATTTGTTTTAAAATGTTATCCTACACAATGAATTAACTGTTCTCATTCTGTTTGACTTTTTGAGAGCCAGGCAGGAAACGCTATAATTTGTCTTAACAACAAAATTTCCTAGGCAAAATTAACCTGTGGAACAGTCTGCCATGAGGTAATGCAAAGCCGACCCTACAGGTATTTGAATGTCTAGGCCTGCATTAGAGAGGATAAAAGATTGTGATGGGATGTATCATCTCATGCCTCTGGTGTTATTTGGGAACAGAGTTGAGGAGGAAAATGGCTCTCAGGAAGGCTCTTCCCCTTCCATTGGGGGATTCCTGCAGCTCCCCAGACTACTTTGCTCTGGGGATGTAGGGGGGCTGATCAGCAGAGCCCTGATCTGCTGCCTCCTTGTCCTGTTAGGAAAACCCAGCTGAAATCTGACTGTCTTCTGGAATACTTTCTTAATCAAAACTCTCAAGAGTGCCTCTGTGGTGGGGAACAAGGCTCACGTTGAGGCTCCTGCCTCTTCTGGGCTGTAGTGACAGAACTACAGTGGAGGGGAGATGGTTGGGCTTTCCAGGTAAGCCATGATCATATGGTTGACTTCAATGTGTACGTAGTTTGCAGCCCTGTTAATCAAAAATCTGTGGAAGGTGATCTGAGGTGGTGTTCCAACAAAGTCCAGGCCTGATAACAGAGAGCTGAGCTTTTTAATTAGTCAGTTGTGGGATAACTACATTCTGTGTGGAGCAGGCTGTTAGTTAAATATTGATTTAGCAGAGGAGCTGTGTTCTCCTCCTGTTTGACCTCTGACTGCAAACACTGTGCTGCAGGTGGTAGGGACATGCTTGTTGAGTTTTCCTTGGTTTTAATTTAGAGGTAGTTTAATATGAGGGGCAAGGAATATTAATATATTTAAACTTCAAACTAACAAACAAAAGACTATTTTTCAAACCAAGTTCTATCTAGTGGTGCCAGACCTCTCTCAAGTCTGACCAAAGTCCAGTCAACATGGTAAAAGTACGTGATGGGGAGATCCTGGCTGTAGAAAATTGAAGGGGCATCTTTTTAACACTGCCTAAAACCAATTTGCAATGTTTATTTCAGGACACAGGAGGCTCACAGTG